TCAATTAATTTACAGTTAAATATTACCTAATTCATAATAGTTAATTTTATAAAAAATAAATATAATATTAAAATATTACAGCACATAAAAAAATAATTGTGTTTGTTTATTCAAATTAATTATTAAAAAAAATTTAGAAAATAAGAATAATATTACAAACTTAAAATATAATTACATAATCCAAAAAATTAAAAATTACCTTAATAGAGTTAATTCACAAAACACCATTTCCTAAAAAGTAAAAAAACTTAAATTAAGTTGTTATTTATATATAATTATTTCAACCAAATAATAATAATCAAAATAGAAATGAAATTAAATGGTAGTTTACATAAATAAAATTGATTTAACCAGACCATTGTTTCTCCCAACAATGTTTCTTGGTAAACAAAATTAAAAAAAAAAAAAAGAGGTTAGAATTGTGATTAAATTGATTAATAACACAAATTAGTGTTTAATCAAATAAAGAGAAAAAAAGAGGAAATTGAGAAGATACAAACCTAAAATTAAATGAATATAATGTAATTATAAACATAATACAATTAATCTAGTAGCATCTGAATAATGGAAGAAAAGAGGAGGAATAGAGAAGGGAGGAGAAGAAAAAAAGAAGAAGGAAAGAAAGAAAGAAAGAAGAACTGAGCAGGTTAAGGTGTCATGGTAATATATGAGTATTTTACCAATGTGGTTCTTGTCGGAGTTTATTTTACCGACAAAATGCACATCGTAATGTTGCTTACACGTGGGAATCCAAAATGTGCAAAAATTTTTCAATCCTACCCAAATTACTAACTAGCTTCATGGTGGAAAGAATTCTGCCCATTTTACCGACAAAAATTTTCCAATCCCGCCCAAATTACTACCATGAAAATTATGTAAAAACTTTAACGGACCAAAATTTATATTTAACCTAAAATTTACTCAAACCAATAAATCTCATAATGTTAATATTAAAATTTTACAATTAATTATCGAAATTTCACTAAAAAATTATCAAAAATTATCAAAAATTACTAATAACTATCCAAGAAAATTTAACAAAAACAACAATTTAACAAAATTAATATCCAATGAACTAATGACAATATTTGATAGTTTAAATTTCATAAAAATAAAATATATATCAAATATTTAAATTTAATATAAAATAATAAAACTAGGTAAATAACACTTACCACTGCTTGACTCACACACTACAAGAAGAAAAATGCTAGAGTGATTCGAAGGAAAGAATTGAGGAAAGGAAAGCAAGAACTACTTGCTGCCGGAAGAGGAAGACTAAGAAGAATGTATACGAAGGGAAGAATAGAGGAAAGGAAAGCAAGATGCCTGAAGAGGAAGACCCAAATGAAAGGGCAGGGGGGTCTGGGGCGGTAAGAGGTAACCCTTACCGACGAAAACCACATTGCTACCATTAAAAGCTGATCTTCCCCGCAGAGCTACAGGATGTAGGTTTACCAACGTGATCATCGAGAAGTGTATGGTTGGCAATATGAAATTACCGACAGAATTTTTGTCGGTAAGTGTACCAAAAGCTGCAAGCCTAACCATCGACAATCGGATTCACAAGGGAGGGTTGGGGGATTGTGAATTTATCGAGGAAGTCTTTGTTAGTAAATTAATCGAGATGAATCCTATTGCAGATTGAATTAGTTACAAGCATGATCTTTGTTGCTAATTTGTTTATTGGTTTGCTTGTTGCCGAAGTGTACATTACAGCATATTAACGACGAAGGGCACGTGTGTATCATGCAAATTTACTGAGAAAAATTTTGTCTGTACCTTAAATAATATAGATTACTCTTATTTTTAATGTTCCTTTATTTGTAAATGTTTATCTTGTCAGTAAGGGGATAGTTTATCGAGAAGACTTCTCACGTCGATGATTATAGATTGGTGATTTTGAGTTTTCTAGGAGTGTTAGAATTTACCCATTAATTGCATGATGGCATTAACGACATCTCCTGGTCTTTTTGGCACTTAAAGGGGTGTTTGTTTTTATTAATTTTTAAAAATTATTAATTGTTAATTCTAACTCATTAAATAATTTAGATACTTTAAATTATAAATAATAATTATTAATTAT